GCTGCTCATGCATTCGGCTTTGCGATATTGCGTTGATTTATTGTGTGTGATTCAGTGTACATCGTCCAATACATTTGAATTGATATTTCATTGGCATTATAGTGCTTAATCTGGAGAATAAAAGTGCTGCTCCCCTAAATATGTCACCGACAAGCGTTAAGTGACCTTGTCATTGCACGCGTACGACCCAGCTTGTACCTTGTTGCACGTTCGGACGTGCGGGGCATTCCACTTTACGGCCCACTATCGTGCAAATTTATTCTTCGTCAAAAATATCCTGTCTGTATAAAATTCAGGAAAGATTAGGGTAAGGGCGGGTAAGAGTACGCGGGCGATAAGAGTACGCATCAGCTGTTTCGGTTGCTTAGCAACGCGGGTTTGTCGAGTTCATGAAGTGACATGAAGCCGCCAGTGCGTGCTTGTCACCAACGGAACGTGGGCGTTGAGCGGCGACGCTGTTGAGTTTAAGGCGATGAATATTATTTTCGAGCGTTATGATATTATTATGGTATGGTACAATAATGTTGATACTTGGCAGTTCAGATAAGGTACATTTCCGCGATTGTTGTGGGAAACTTGTGAGGTTATCTGGGGAAATACTGTGCAGTGCAATATTCTGTTTGCGAAGTTTTGCACAACGTTTCGGTGTTGTTTTGTGCGCGAATTGCATGTACGGTAAGAGGACGCACTGTTCAGGGGGGTAAGAGTACGCAGAATTATACATTAACCCTCGCCCCGTTGGGGGGGGGCCATTTTGGCCCCCCCCTGTGGTTTTTCCTGAATAGCAAGAAAACGGCGGCGCGCAGCGCCGCCAAATTTTCAGTACCTTTCCAGACATCAATTTGACACCTTCACACCAAATTTCAAGTCTTAGGTCACCTTAGGTCAGGAGTTATTGAGGTCAAACTGAGGTCATGTTCGAGCAAAAATGAGCAAAAAACATGCAATCTTGAAACGCTCACCAAATCTACAGTTATCAAGCAATTTCAAAGTTCTTTATATGGTCTAATAGACAAAAAGCGGCGCTACAAAACTGCTATCTCGGATTTTCGAAATTTTGGGTTTTTGACCCAAAAAAATTCAAAAAATTGATTTTTTTTAGAAAAACTAAAAAAAAATCCAAAATTTTTCCGAATTTCGAAAAAACCGGTATATATGTGATAGTCCCTGCGCTCTTCTATATACATACCAAATTTCAGATCGATATCTCGTTTTTTGGCCAAGTTATAGCGAAAAAACTGTTCAAAAATGATGACGTCAAATTTTTGAACTCAATTTGTAGCGATTCTAGACCTCGTACGGTAAAACAAAGACCACCATTGAACTCCCCGTGACGAGCTGCATCGATTCGATACCCATTTTATGCAAAAATATCAACTTTGAAATTTGACCTTATTTGACCTGACCTTGACCTGACCTTGACCTGACCTTGACCAAAACGTGACCTAAGCTGGTCCCAAAGGCTGCCTGACCCACATAATCGCATTTGTCATGTAAAATGGACCATAAAACATGTATCACACGACACTTTCATATTGTGACCCCCCAGTGACCTGACCTCAGTGACCTGACCTGGTATCAGTGACCTCAACTAGCAAAATATGTGTTTGAAGAACATTTCCCCATCGATGATTTTCAATGAAATGCATTTTACTCGATTTTACAACGCATTTCTTGAAATGCCTGTAAACGGTGAAAATTGGACCTTTGACCTGACCTGTGACGTCATCGGTTTGACCTAGGTCAATAAAATTGGGTCACAAGGTAGTTCCCTGATAGGGCTATCCAACACCGTTTGCCGCTTGTCGCTACGTTGCGTGGTTCTCGAGATCTTAGGGGGGGGGGGCCAAAATGGCCCCCCCCCAACGGGGCGCGTTGCTCGGCAGAGCCCAACGGGGCGCGGGTTAAATCGAATATACAGAAATATACAATTATTAATCTATCGCTCAATGACGTTTGTTTTGTAGGTATATCATCAATGGAGCACTGTGATGCAGATGCGTACCCGAAATTCTTCCAAATACGAGTTATTCTCCCTTTTGATTGTGCATGTTTTTAAAGAAACACACGACATGATTATTTACTGATTTATAGACTTGAAAGATTTATTTTATGTTTTTCTTTTTGGATACTAGAATTAACTTAAATGCCCTCTGAGTTTGAAGTTAAGCATTTGGGCAGTACAAGCTACATAGGTGTGTGTTCATATGCTTGCGTACTCCACCCGCCTGGCGTGCGTACTCTTACACACCCCATATGGTAAGAGTACGCAACTGCAGCGGTTCAGAAACTGTCAGTTTTAGACCACTTCCATTTACGCTGAAGGATCGTTGCCCCATGGGATGATGGCTAATTCAATGAACTTTAATATTCCCTATTTGCGATTTCTTTCTTTCAAATATTAAACAAATGAGAGCAAGAAATCCACTAAGTGCGTACTCTTATACGACTTCACCCTATCCATCTGCCTTGTGCTCGCTCGTGATCAGGTCAAAAGTCGGGTCAAAGGCACATAGAACAGAATAGGCTCTCCGAGACGAGTATTATAGGCTTTGTTCTATAAACAGTCTTCAATTCCGAATCCCTTCGCTTGACCATCAGCCGTCGGTTAACACGCTTAGAGGCTCATGTTGTCAATCAGATGCAGGTTGCTGGTCCACTGGCGCTCGTGCGGGGTCTAATGAGTTTAGCTAAGCCCCTGAAGGTTAGCCAAGGCTCAAAGCCTTAGAGACGCCTGCGATGGGTGGGTCCCTCAAAGATTTGCGCGGATATTCAGAGACTTGCTTAGGTGAGCTGGTTCTCAAAGGTCGACGTGATGCTTTGAATGCCGATGAGGGCCTTCAGAAGCCAGCATGGGACCCATTAGAGCTCGGTGGAGCCCTGCTAAGAGCCCTCGGCGTCTGGGCCCTGCAGGCATCGGAGCCACAGTGGCCCTTTGTAGGAACCGTTGCGGTCCCTCGAAATTGAATAAAGACCTTTAGTGAACTTCGACAGGCTTTTAGGTCCCGTTTGGGTGTTTCTGAGGACGGTTGGGGTGTGGGGGGCACGTTCTCCCTGTAGCGAGTAGGTACTGGCTAGTGGCTACGCCACTGATATTGGCTAAAAACCAAAACGAATCAAAGGTCCATTATCACCACCGAACGAGATGGCTTTGAACACTGAACAGAGGGCAGCACCACATGCCAATGAAGCTAGATGTCGCGCCAGAAGCTCAACTCGAGCCTTTCACGGTACCTATCTAATTGCCGTGCATTTGTGATCTATAATTATATACCGTGTATCTATTTTTTGACTTCACGTTTTTTAACCCGCACCCCACTGGGCTATTCGCCATATGTGCCCTGCTGTGGGGCATATTCTGCCCCCCACCCCCTGTCTAACTTCCGAATCGATGGTCATAGAAAGACGGGGAAAGCGGAAAGCGAAAGCTCTCAACAAGATGGAACTTTGATGCCAAAACATCATTATGTATGTCAGACATCATGTCAAGGTCAGGTCAAGGGTATTGCAAGCTTCTAAATTATCGGCTTTTGATCGCAGCTAGCGAAAACTGGACTGAGATCGATTATCCAAAACATCTTCTTAGGCCACCAAGCCAAGATTTGCTGCATGCAAAGGTCAAGGTCAATATCATGCAAAGGTCAAGGTCAGGTTAGGTCACCAAGAGTGAAATATATAATAGGACATGCTCGACACATGTTTTATCGGTCATTTCATTCACATGGTGGCACATTTTTTATAGTGATATGGACCACATTTGGAAGAATTTTAGGCCGAGGGCAGGTCAAGGTCAGGTCAAGTAAGGTCAAATTTTAGAGTTAGTTGTGAAGACCCAAAGAGGTGTCTATCTGTTGCAGTTTTCCACGACGAATCGCATAGTGCTATTTTTGTTCCAGTACGAGGTCTAGAACTTCCTTTTTTTTAAATAATTTCGTTTGTCGTGACGTCATACAATTTTTTTAATAACTCCTTTATTTTTGAAACAATTCTTCTAAAAATTAGAATGTTGGTGTACAGGAGCTACTTCTCAAACATATATTTCGTTTTTTTATAAACGCAAATTTTTGAATTTGATGATGATTTTTCCAAAAAAAGTAAGTTTTTATGCCTAACTTTTGGATCGAAATCCATTTCTTAAACCGAGATGGCAATTTGAAAGCCCAAGTATAGGCCAAGTAAAGCCCTAATCACGTACATACATGCTTTTTATTACGTCCCATCCCAATTGCCAAAAAAAACTAGGCATAAATGATAAGTGTTAGAGGCGTTTGAAGTTTTCAATTTTTGAAGCGAAACTGGCCTAATTAGCTTATGCATAGGGTGTGCATTTTTGGGTTGGACCCCAATCCTGAGACTGTGGCGGGGCACCTGCATCTCAAACACATCGGAGCGTGATTTGGTACACTCTTGCACTTGCGATTCTACAATTTTGCATTGCTTACCTTGTGTAACGCCATATACCCCTACCCTATGATGTCGCTGAAGTCATCTGATTTTTGCCGGCCACTTTCGATCAAATTGAGCTAGCGAGCCGGAATGGCCACCAACGGACTCAGGAAGATCTTCCAAATCGAATGGTGTGCGATATAACCTCACTCGACTAGCCTAGCCTCCCGACCCCATGAGCTGTGACCTGACCTTGACCTGAGGTCAACACCCCGATTTGACCTTTGCCAAACAAAAAATGCATCATTCGACTCGCCTGTTCATGAAAAACTCAAAATCGAGGCTCTGCCTGAAATGTGAATATTTTTGACGAAGGTGCTCACTAAAAACCGAGCCCTACCTTAGGCACCTGACCTGACCTCAGATGTCGCTGGTTGACCTGAGACTTTAAAATTGGTTAGCAGTCGATGACTTCATACTATCGTGACAGGAACACCCACACAAATACCCGCACCTCCTGCCGACGCCTCCCACCGTTGCACCTGCCGCGGCGGCGGGCCTCGGGCGGCGTTCCGTTATTGGCGGACGTTCCGCGGCTGATGCCGGCTGGTCCAGACCTGGCCGTGGCCCTGGGTTGTGCGCGCGGCCAGTCCAGCAGCCGGGGCCGCCGTCCGCAGTGCCGCCAAGATGAGGTGCCTGGCTGCCCTAGGGCTGCTGCTCGTCTCGCTCAGTATCTGTGATGGAGGGCCACAAGGTGAGTGAAAAATGGACGCAGGGTGACAGCAGGCTGCCCGCGACTGGGGTGGCTTCACGTGAGGGAATCAAGTCAACCGTGGAATGTTTTGGTTCAAAGTGCATAGCTGCGTCCTACTTCCAGAGGTGTTTATGGATTTCAGAGCTGGGCATTGCGCAACTTAAGTCCGCAACTCCGCAACTCCGCAACTTGCGGACTACCCTCTTGGTAGCGGAGTTACGGATCGGCTACCGAGCCCAAAAAAGTTGCGGAGTTGCGAGTTGCGGAAGCGAAAAATTCTAAAGCGCAACTGCTACCGGAGCCGCCACCGCTGACGGGGGCGAGAGAGAGAGAGAGAGAGAGAGAGAGAGAGAGAGAGAGAGAGAGAGAGAGAGAGAGAGAGAGAGAGAGAGAGAGAGAGAGAGAGAGAGAGAGAGAGAACTTAGCCACTTCAAAAGGTACTACCTATCAGACATAACACTGCACTTCAGGACTAACCCTGGTACGGCGTTTGCCAGCGTCTAACGTGTAGGGGCGGGAGAGGGGTCGGTTGGACCCCGCCCCCTGCCGTTCGGCCCTTGATTGAGCTAGAGCTTCGTGAAAAAAGGAACGTGTTGCCCGCTACGAGAAGAAGCCGATGATACCCAATTATAAGGTCCTAGTTCATTGGTTGACCTTCCAGGTCAGGTCAGTGACCCAAAAGTCGGGAAAATCGGGACCTGCTAGACTTCGCAAAGTGAAGCTGTTTTGGTTTTTTCGGGGTACTGATCACGTAGTTCATGTTAGTTTTGATCACGGATGATGTCTTCACGCATTTAGGCCATGTCGGATCAGGCCAGGTCAGGTCAACCAGTAGGCATCCTGCCGGCTATCTATAGTAGGGGAGAGTGGGGTAAGATGCCCAGGGTGGGAAAGACGCCCCACCCCCTCTAGCGGCGAACCAAAGAATCGAACCTGGAAATTAATGTTCTTAGCGTAAAGCGGAAGCCTGCCTTGTTAACTGCACAAAAATTTGCGAAGCTCAGTTGGGCAACGGCTGGCTGGTGATTGCATGTTTTTTATTTGCTGCTTTCAAAAAATATTTTGTTGTCAAAACATTGTAAATATCAAAGAAGGTAGATAATTTTTGCGTCCCTTGCTATAGTCGTGATACATTAACATGCGTGTACTGTGTCCCAAACAATTTATTTCAGGGTGTAGTTTTATGGCTAACAAATTGTACTGATTTAATGTTACTTCGGTACCTTGGGGTAAGATGCCCCCTGTCCTGATGGGGAAAGACGCCCCCCTAAATTCGTAGGCTGTCCTTCAAGCATCCCGTCAAATCATTTATTACATACTTGTGATTAGAGACAAAAGCCGATCTGGGACTATTGAGAGTCCAGTACGGTCGGGTGCTCCCCATGCCGGTCTCTCGGCCCATACAACGACTTTTTGGGCGGCATCTGACTCTGAGAGCCCTCACGACGGCCTCTGTGGGCCCCATTATTGGCTCCAGGGCCCTCACGACATCTTTGAGGGCTCCCACGTTGGCTCCACGGGCCGCGCTGGCATCTGGGGTCCACACGATGGGCTCGAGGGCCCTCAAGCATCATGAAGACCTACAAGGGCCTCACAGTGGTCTCCGAACGCCACCACGGAGGCTTGTTTGGCCGCGCTGGACTATGATGGCCCTAACGATGACCTCTGAAGCCCCTTACGACTACTTTTGGGGGCCCTTACGATGACGTTTGGTGTCTACTGCAGGCTCGAAGGGACTGCTGATTCGTTCAGGCGATTCACGTGCCCATTTATGTCACTTATAGTGCAGGGGGCATCTTACCCAACGCCAGGGGGCGTCTTTCCCACCCTGTGGGGTAAGATGCCCCCTTTCACTTCTTCAGGGAAATGCTTAAAGGGACCCTCCCACCTTCAAAAAAGTTTATGAATTGGCATGAAAGTGATGTCGCTCGGTTCAGAAAGAGCGAAAACGAATATATGCCAAATTTCACCGAAAAATATTCACCGGTTTTCAAGATATTAGACTTTTGCTTTTGTTTACTTTTTTGGGATCTCCGCTGTTTCTAGCAACTTGATTTTAGAAGTGCGGCGTTTGCGGCAGATGTTGCGCGCAAATAGCATATACCACCGCGTGCTACAAAACGTTTTAGTCAAACATTTAAAAATCGTTAGATATTTGCGCTGACGTCACACATTCAGAGGGGTATTCCTAAGCATTAGCCCCTCTGAATCAAAATGCTGCAATTTTGAAATTCAATATTTCTGATTTAAGGCATTTCTCGATGTTGTGAGTGCCGAAGCCGGTAATTGTGAGCCAGGGACCCCATTTTGGCTATCTCAACTCAAATCTAATGTTAAGGTGGGAGGGTCCCTTTAATAGCAAAAAAAAATTATCATATTTCAGGCCTGAAAGTGTGATATTTTTGGAGAAAAATGATGTCGGCTTCCGTTGAAACTCCAAGTTTTTGCTTTCCGATCGTCATTTTCGAATAAAATCTGACATAGTAAAACCCTGGGCATCTTTCCCCACTCTCCCCTAGGTGTCAACTACCACTGACGGCGCCGTAACATGTAACGAAGGCACTAAAACTACTTTGTTAACCCGCGCATGACTGGGGTATTTTCCATAACGCGAGTGACTGGGGGTGATCTCCAGAGCCCCCCCCCCCCCTCCTATCTCCGAAACTACTGGACCGATCGTCAAAATTCAAACGGCGTCTGATAGCCCTGTCGAGCGAAACCTATTTTCATTGACCTCGAGGTCACCGATGACGTCACAGGTCAGGTCAAAGTAAAAATTATCAGCATTTTTGCTTGTTCACAATTTAGGCTCGGACCGCCGGCTGACAAGTCCGATCAGGCTCATTTTTGGTTTACGCACTCCTTGATATATACCTAAGATACCCTGAGGGTACCGAACTTTTACTTCGATTTTTTTTTTGCAGGTCAAGGCCAGGTCATCCTAGGTCACGAAAACTGTATATCATGTATCGGTCACGTGACGCATGTTTTATGGTCCATTTTACTCATAGATTTAAATAACATTGTCGTCTGTGTCATTTGAGGTCATTTTCAGCTGAATTTACGGGAGGTCAGGTCACTTTCAGGTCAGAAAAGGTCAAATTATGAAAATGAAATTTTTCAACAAAAAAGGTGCCTATCAGATGCAGTTCGAGCTCAGAAACACGATGGTGCCATTTATATTGCTGTACGATGTCAAAAACATACCTACTGAAAAATGGTTTTGAAAAATATAATTGTAAAATGTTGACAATAATGCAAATAACTTGGCTATTTTTGAAGATATTGGGCTAAAACTTGCTAGAGTAGTTCATCAGTGTGTGTCCTATCACATATATTCCGGTTTTTGCGAAAAGTTAGAAGCTTTTTGAAAAAAATCAAAAATACATTTTGTAATTGTAAATACATATTTTTCAAAATTTTCAAAATTTCGAAAATTCGAGATAGCAGATTGATAGCTAAGTGTATTTGTAGTCCACTCATGCAGAGACATTGGATCTAGCTTTAAAATTGAGCTCTTGAGAGCGCTTGCCGTAATTCAATATTTTGCATCAAAATCGGCCGACATGACGTCACTCTGACGTCATTTCCGGCCAAACTATGGTAGCTAGAAAGTTGAAAGTTTAACACAAGCTGTCAAATTGATGCCGCTGAGGTTAGCACAAGTTTCGTGTTGATCCGTCAAACCGTTTGGAAGATATTGCCGAAAAACCGGAGGGGGGCTCTGTAGAGCCCCCCCCCCAGTCGTGCGCAGGTTAATGTTTAAATGGATGCAAAACTCGAAATCAGCCTCAAAAACTACCCTAGAAACATGTAAAACTCGAAAAGGTGAACCAAGGTCAATGGTCATCAAAGTCAATGACCTTGACCTGACCTTCACGTGACATTGACACCCACCGTAATGCATGGGACATTGGGACGAACATCATTTCACAGGTTTGGACGCTTACAATCACAAAAGACTGGAAACGCGCGGGTAAGGTGAGCTGACATTTGCCGAATCGCGATTTCGGCCAAAGATGGTCTCGAGAAATAGGTCAAAGGTCATTTGGGTTAGGGTCATGCAATTTTCAGAGTATGAGTAAAATTTGATAAACTCGAGGGTTCTGAAAATTTCGTCGCGATCGTCCGCTTTTTGCGCGAGTTATTCGCGAAATACCGAGGGGGGTTCATCCAATCCCCACGGCCTACACATGCGAGGGCTAAAACTGATAAAATATGGTTGGTACCTAATAGAGGTGGGTAGCGGAGTTGCGGAGTTGCGGAGTTGCGAGTTGCGGTTTTACGATCTGCAAAATAGTTTCGGAGTTGCGATTGCGCTTTGGGTACCTCAGGTTGCGGAAGGTAGCGGTAGCGGTTTCCAAATTTCGGTAGCGATGCCCACCTCTGATGGATTTGCACTCGTATAGTGAGTAAAACGCAGTAGGTCCTGAGACGAGATGGAAGCTTGTGGCCCCTGGGCTGGGCAGTGGGCACTGCTTGCTAAGTTGTATGCTGTCAGGTAAAATAGAATGGACATTGATTGCTGACGTTCATAATAGGGATAAGGAAAGTAAAGACAAGTGGTCGGCCAGAACTACTCTCAATTGAGGATGAACATATCGGTTAGAGCACAACGGTAACACAAGCAGGAAAAGTTTCGTACGAAGTTTCTGCGGTCTCAGGTGGCCCGTGGCCGAGCTGAAAATGACCCGACTCGGTTTAGGGTCTGTGTGTAAGTCAATGCCAAGCGATAACTGCTCCTGCAATCAGAGGCTACGATTATGTTTCATAGGCTACTGACCTTCTAGGTCAATCGTTATGACAATGCATGCAATATGAAATCATGTCTTCTGGAGGCAATGACCTAGCCAGGGGCTCGGCGGGGTCACACCTAAGAGCGAAGTGCGAAGTTCCATGTTACATAACATCTGGCATCTATACCTACTTACATTTCGTTTCCCCTGAATAGCGAACGTAGACCTTATTTTAGCATTAATTTTAATTTTAGCGCCTCATAT